TTTTGCGCTTTTTAATTCAAGGACAGAAATCATGGACAATAAATTGGAAATTGATAGACAGGCGCAAATCATTCGTCAAGGTACAAAAATAACCTAGATTTTCTTTTGTGCAATTCATGCTTTCCGATTTTCCACTTCTCAATGGACGGACTATATAATTTATGAGTCCATAAGAACTTCCTTGCTCAACTTTGGCAATGAATAATTAATGTCATTATTACGACATTAATTATTTCTGATTTCCCACGCCCTCAAATGGATATTACGCAGATCCAATACACTCTTCTGCACAGCACATTCGACTATAAAAGTATAAGTATTTGTCAGAAACATTCATCGGTAAGTGTCACAAACCGCAAACTTTTTGTGTCAACTGTACTACAGCTAGAGCTTAATTAGTTGTTGCACTCATCATTGCTATTGCCATCCCGAAAAGCTCACACAGTAATTACTTGTAATTACATGTGTGCGAATATTATAAACTTAATTAGTGAATTCCTGAATGTGCGCTAATTGTGTATCATTTTTATTTTTTTTTTTCTTCTTTTGCTTTTTTATTTTTATTTTTTATTTTTGTCGAGTCTTGGTCAATTTTTGTGGTCATTAAAACAACTACTCGTAATTGACAGGCATTGCTCGATGACTGAATTAATAGATGCGATGAGATGGCAGAGGGAGAAAGAGATAAAGCGGCAGAAATTTGCACTTTGTTTGATTTCCGTTTCCATGTCATTGTTTAATTGCAGTCAGCGGCTATCATAGAACGTTGTATACCCTTTGATGGTATTAAAATTTAGAAGGCTTGATTTTTATTGACGAAAATGCTCTTTATTTTAGTTGATCAATAAAACAATAGTTGATTAAAAATATTTCACATTTCATTTGCATTTTCATGAGGAGCATTAGCATATTCGTTGGTCTAGGGCAGAAAAACTGATCCAATATAATTTTAGTTGATTTACAGTGAATTGTTGAATAACAGACGAAAGAGATACACTGAAATAATATGCATATGGACTGCACAAAAACATTCAAATAATACAATTCAAATAATTCAAGCAATTAAATACGCATCAATGTTAAAAATTTAATTTATTTTGCCTCCAGCCATGCAAAGCAGTCTATATAGATGTTTATTATGCTCATTTAACGAACATGCATGATAAAAAATGCACATGTGTGTGTGAAGGAGTGAGCGTGTGGGTGCACAGTGATAGCGAATGCAATAGCAACAGGCGAAGCATAACCTCATAATGCCAAATATCGTATAGTATATCTTAAATATCGTATATCGTTGTTCCGTTATATATACTTATTTAATTTTTTTGGGAGCACAACTACAAATTGCATCCTTAATATTACTGTATTCATGTGGAATATATCCTTTGCTTACTTAATTTTCCATGTGTGTATGAGAGAGCACATTACGAGTGAATGCAATAGCACATAGTGAATCGCTGAGCTACGAATATCGTATATCTTGCTTATTAAATCTAGCTAAGAGTTTGTTTCTGTGGGTGTGTTCCTATAAGAAGGAAATATAATGGTGAGACTGCAGCAGATCTATAAATATATCATATTAGATCGTAATAATGGTATATGGTATATATTTCGATATTCTTATATGGTATATTAAATAGTATATCGTATATTCTTGACAAATCAATAAAAAACTACAATAACTAACGTGTAGTAAATAAATATAGCATAATATATCCTTAATATAGTACGTATATAATTATTTGTTAATTCAATTCTTCTCATGGGCTTAAGTAACAGAGAGACAGACAGAGCGAGAGAGAAAGGGCGAGTAAGTGATATTTTAATGTGTTTTATTGAATACTGTATATTCTCTGTAACTTCATTGTTTGTTTGGCTAACTTGGTTAGCCTATCATTAATTTACATGGCAAATGCTCACTCCTGCACCTTTATTTTTCCATTGAAATCCATTAATAACTGTTAAGTGCTTCAGTTAGATAATTAGGCCCCTTACTTTTATTAATTACCAAACAATGATGGGGAAGCGAGCAGAACTTGAGCTGAGTGAATAGCAGTGACAATGCGGCAGAAGAAACTGACATGATTATCAGCTGCGATGTGGATAAGTACGGGGTCGAGGCGAGGCACACACTCAGGCGTTCACGGATGGCCTAGCAAGGCGACGCGACGTCAACAACAAGAGCAGCAACAACAACAACAACAGTAGCAAGAACAGCATCCCACAAGGGCGGCCACAATGCCGCTACTTAAGCTGCTTTACGTGCGCAAAGGACACACACGCAAATAACTGCGGGGTAGCTTTTAATTATCTCGTTATTTTTTAATTTCCAGCATTTCACTGATTTCATTTTGAGCACATTGAGCGAGGCTGTGGGCGGTGGGCGGTGGGCGGTGGGTGCTGTGCAATGGGTTGTGGGCGGTTGTCCTGAACGTCGCCTTTTTGTCACCACCCGCAGAGCTGGCTACTTGAAGCAAGTTGACGCCAATTGAATGCGGAA